ACCAGCAAGCGCCAGCTAATGCATCGAGAGTCACGTCAATGCGGGGTAGTGGAAACGAATCTCGTGTAGTCAGTGCGTTTAGTAGCCTGTAATCGACACAAAACCGGAACGTCCCATTATTTTTCGGTACGAATGTCACCGGGGAGGCCCATGGGGACTTTGACGGGCGTATGACCCAATTTTTAATCATTAAATCAAAAATATGGTTGACATCTTCGTGAGAGTGAATAGGTATTCGCCGCGGCGGCTGCCAAACTATTTTGGCGGTGCCTGTTTCGATGGAGTGTCGTAGGTACGCGGTGCGGCCTAAAGATTCTTCGTCCCAAGTAAAAACATCAACAGACTCTTCCAATAGTGAGCGGAGTGCTTCTCGGGCGTTAAAAGGGATACCTTTACGGTCCGGCAATATCGTGTCGATGTTGACGGCCGGCAGTGTAACAATGGCTTGGATGGATGCACAGACTAGCTCTTCATCGAAGCTCGGTAATGTAGTCTCGTTCGTGCCTTTCGGCCGGTTAAATGTAATAGTTCGTTGTTTCACTTGGATCGTGCAGTCGTGCCGGTCAAGGAAGTCCACCCCCAGTAACACATCCCATGTTAAGTCTGGTACAACTAGGAACGCGCCCTCTTTTTGACCAGACTGGTTCGTTAACTGCAGAGGAAGAGACCCAACGCCCGCTAGCCGAGAACCGTCCGCTCTCGTTAAGCACAGTTTGCTCGACCTTTTGTCTAATTTGAAGTGCTGTCTTCGTGACAGTACTCGCGGGTTCACTAGTGACCTACTCGTTTCAGTGTCGATTAGGGCTTCAACAAGCTTAGCATTTACGTAAATCTCAGTGCAAAAGGGCTCTAGCAATGTATGAATTTGAGATAGAATTGGAATAGATTACGTACCCGATGTGGTTTGCTCGCAGAAGGAAGCTGTTTGCTTGTTGTTGCATGCACAGACTTGCAGGTTGGGAAGCCGATTATACCCTCCCTGTCCGGGGTACTGTGGCCGCTGGAATGCTGCGGCCAGGTTCGGTGGGTTATAGCTGAACCAACGCCAGTTGTTGCCCTGTGGTCCCCGTATTGTATTTTGCAGGGCAGTCGGCTGGACTGGTTGAGCAGTTGGTTTTGCTACCTGTGTCACTTCCGAGTAGTGTTCTACTGGGCTCCCCGCCTCCTGTAAATTCTGGGGTGGTTGGAGGAGCAGGAAACGACGCAGCTCAATTGTGTTTAGATTCTTCACAAATAGGTGCAGGGCTGCGTC